CTACATAACACAAAGCTTAGGACGCAGTCAGCGTGCATACTGTTTTCACAGGGCAGTATGTGTCCCAGAGTGCCCTGTGACTGGCAGAAGGCCAGAGCTGTAAAGTTCAAGACAAGCCTGTATTTATCCAGGGAGGAAGGAAAAGAGCCTTTGAAGACCACTATACTGGATCTTGTACTTTTATCCTGAAAAGAACCTAGGTATTAAAAAGCCTGGTAAAAAAAAAGCAAATAGTAAGTAGTAATAGTAAATTTACCCTGAAGAGTTCTGAGCGAGGCTGGTGAATTGTAATAATGACAATCCTGTCTCTGTGTGCAAGCTCTGAGAGAAGAGAGACAATGTGGTTTGCAGTCAGGCAATCCAGCCCTGTTGTTGGCTCATCAAGTAGCATGACCTCTGTGAAATGACAAGGAATAGTGCTAAAACCCAGGTAAATGGGGAGCAAATGTTATAGCTTCTGCCTTTGAAGCTAATTTGGCAAATAGTACAGAAATTACTTTGCATGTGAAGTTTCACATGTAAAGCAGAGTATGCATAGATATTGCCATGATGCAATCTTTCAGTTTTAGTTAGCTTCAGTGGTTCAGTTAATGACTAGGAATAAGGACATAAAAAACTACTGCCGGATCAGAGCATAATCATTTTTTTTCTAAGTTCAGGTGAAATATGAAAATTACCAAAATAGATTTGATGTATACATCTGCTTCTAAGATGATAATAATGATAAATTTCAGCATGTATACACATGTAAATATAACTGACAAAATGAGCTAGAAATTATAATCTGAATTAAATCTATATATACACACAATCTGTTATGAAAAAACTAAGAGTTGTTAAAATACAGCATATATAATTCCATAGATGAGAGAGGTGGGGGTTTTCTACTGCATTTTCTTCATTATTTTATTGCACATGGAAGGGTAAAAGTTACAATCAAATCCATTATTTTTACATAGATGAGACACAGCTCAGAAGAGAGCAGTTCAACCTTGATCAGGGTAAGAGCTTTCTCTGTAGGTTTATCTACACAGAATTACTATAGTGTTTACTATAGAGTTTAGTGAACTTGCTGAGCAATAACTACACCCAATGAACTCTCCAGGAGTCACCAGTAGCAGTGATATACCTCACTTTGCTATTTAAATGCTCCTTCCTGCCTGGTATGCAGTCCTAGCACATCTGCACCACTATGAGGACTACAGAATCAAATAAATGTGTGCTATACATTCACTCCATAAGATTCTGGCATCTTTAAGAAACTATGTCAAACTGACAAAATTTACAGTTCTGTTTCCCATGCCTAATACTTCTAGTTACTCTACTTTGATTTTCATTCATTGGAATTTTTCGGCTCTGGAGCGTACATGGTGCTCACATACACATGGTTCAGTGGTAGCTACTCCACTACAAGGCTCAATGCTTGCATATGTGGGGCTCTACTGCACTCAAAAACTATAAATTAATGGGCCACAACCAACATTTCATACATGAGAAGGGCGAGCCCAGAAAGACTTAAAAGGATAAATTCAAGTCTATGTTCAGTTCCTAAGATTTTAAAATTGCCTACTTTCCAAGATCAACTAATAGATAAATGGCAGACTCAAGCTACTGCTGATGCTTTTCTGTCATTGCTACACTAGCTTTTGCTGAATTACAGAATATAAATGCTTTTGTATTTTAAAGTGGTTTATGGAGGCCCGTGGTAGGAGCAAAGTGACACTGCTTTGTTTTACTTTGAAAATCCATGCAGTGGTACTTACTGGGATCTTGTAACAGCTGAGCTGCAATTGAAACACGACGCCTCTCACCCCCAGAAATTCCTACAAAATGACGGCTTCCAATTATTTTGTCAGCAATGTGGCTGAGACTCAGCTCAGCCATAACCGCATCTACCTAAAAAATAATCACAATTTAGAAAGACTAAACACAGCCCAACTCAGATACTTGTGTGCGCAATGAAAAAATTAAAGAAAAAAAGACATCATTTTAAGCTATGGCTTTCCCAATATGCTGCGTCCATCCATTCCAGCTGGAGTGTATCTGGCTTTATTTCTGTTTGATTATTTTTAATATATTATTTCAATTATTATTTTTTAAATTTTATTTTCATGTATTCTGAAATGAGCAGAATCTTAGCTTCAGTTGACATTAAGAGATGAAGAGTTCAGATGTGGGACTAGAAGTTAAGGTATGAAGCATAACGTGCTGGTCTGGCTTCCAAAACAAGGGAGCAGAAAGGCACATCAATTCTGGGAAAGTACAAAATACTGAGTGGAAGACAGGTGAAGAGAGAAGACAGAGAGCAAGAGCCTTTGGTCAGGAATATCCAGTCTTTACTCTCAACAGCAGCCAAAGAGAGTCCTTTAAGTGATCTGAAACACACCAATTTTATCAAGAAAGTAGCTTGTAGGGAGCTTATTAGACCAATGCTTTTTGGAGCTGTTCTGGTTAGTGAGAGATGTCCTACAGGAGCCAGAGTAGTGTCAGTGTCACCTCTGCTGTCCATGAGACTTGCCAGCACACATGGCCCTAAACACCGCAGAGAAGTGGGATCCTAGCTGGAGAAGAGGAACTGACCTTGGTGCCAACAGCAGCATCTCCTGCAGTGGTAACTGCTGCAGCTTTGGGCAGGAGAGTTTTGTCCCAGCATAACAGTGACTCCCTGGGGCATCAGCACGAGCCTCTTGCAGAGGTAAGGAGCACCAGAGAGCTTGTGTCCTACTCCTCAGCAGGAGGATTTCTCCCCATTTGCAGAATAAGGATTACAAAACCTTATAAACATACAACACAGCCATGGATGGAAAGTGCTGCTGGTGAAAGTGTTGCATGACATCTTGTCTGCCTTTGTGGTGGAAGATGATAAAATACAGACCTTCTTTTTTATGACGTCACTGGAGCGTTTCTGAAGAGTTAGTAAAGCAGTGTAGGTCAGAGACTCTTGTATGGTGAGGAAGCTTAACAAAGTGTCATTCTGAAAATGAAGAGGAAGAAGCAGTTAGTTCTGTAGTAGTTAAGATCTTGCCCCTGCTTACACAACCTTCATTCATTCATACAATTTATTAAGTGCTTTTTACCAAATTTACTAGTAAAATCACAGTCAGATTACATAACTCCATTACACTAGCAACTTTACTTTCTTTACATGAGAGGAAGCACAGTGCACAGAAAAAAATGTAGAAATCAACCTGTGGCACATAGGAGAAGCAATCTCTAAACTGTTCCTTCTTCAGCTGACGCCCATTCACGTACACTTCACCAAAGAAGTTGTCTTTATGTCCCAGTCTTCCTGATATTGCATCCAGAAGTGTTGTTTTCCCAGAGCCTTTCAAACAAAATAAATTAATCATGTAATGAGATGAATTTTGTGATTTCAAGAGCGGTAGCCTCACTTGGATGGAGACATATGAAAAGAAGAAAGTATTATTTTTTTCTCAGTAACATTAAAATAATAGATCCTGAAAATGCAGCTAGTTAAGGGGAAGTAAATGGGAAACCTAGAATGTGTGTAAATTAGCACTTAACTCATACAAATTCATACTTCATAGTGAAACATTTGGGTTTAGAAATAACCTTATCTTTTATTGAAGTTATAATTGTTAGCTAGATGACAGAAGATTGAACTCTGAAAAACAAACACCACAGTTTTACAAAGTGGAGGTTAAAACCAGCTGCATTTTCATTACTTAAAACACAGGCCTCAGTCACATTCATAACACTGTGGAAGTTACCAGTACTAATTTTGATCTTATTTCTTTTAAAGTGCTGGAACAACTTACCAGAATTTCCTAAAATCCCCATAATCTGGCCACTCTCTATGTGAAATGAAACATCCTTAAGTATTTGCCGGGTCCATTTTTTATGATACAAAGAAACATTCCACCAGGGGCCAACACGTTCCCTTGGAAAACAAACATCAAACAAGATGAAACACAGAAGATTTAAAAATTTTGCGTAAAGCAAGTGAATGGTTTATAGCTATTTGCATGTGGGATGGAAGCCTGCAAGGATTTTAAAGTGTTGGGGGGAAAAAAACCTTGCTGCCCCCACCCCCCACTCCAGGCTTTAACTTTTTAACTTCAGCATTATCTGGAAGGTAAAACAAAGTCTGAACAGATTTTTCAGAATGACTGCTAGGAGGTTTTCATGGGAAAGGGCACAATCTTTGGAAATGTCCTCTAAAGCATCTCCTCCAGAGACACATGAAGAAGAACTAGTGAACCCTCTGAAGGACACACCAGCTCTGTCTGCCTCAAGCCATGCGCTCTACCCCTGTGGTGGTCAGCCCAGCACCATGAGGCGGGCAGCCTGGCAACATCCCTCCTTCTTTCTGGGCTGAAGCCAAACCCACAGCCCAACAATCCCAGCCCCTCTCCCCTCGGTCCCTGGGGTCAGAGCAGTTCCCAGCGGGCAGAGGCTCGCCAGGCTGCCCTCCCAGCCCTACCTGACGGTGTAGGAGACGCCCTGGACACTGATGCTGTTGGAGAGCTGTGCCGCAGTCTTCGCCTGGCCTGTCTGCTCGCCGCTGCTTCTCCTCTCCAGGGCCAGAGACCCTCTGCCCGACATCCTCCGGTGCTGGGGCCCCGCAGGCTCCCTCCCTCACGCTGCTGGCCAGGTGCCTGATGCTGCCTCCACCATGCCTGCCCCAGCACTGGGCAGGGGCTGCTCCCGGTTGTCCCCGGGTCGGAGCAGGTCACTGCCCCCAGCACTCGCCACCCAGGGAAGCACCTAAAAGAAAATAGAGGGACTCTCAGTTGTTTCTTTTTCCTGAGAACAACTGATAGGCGATTAGCTGAAGCTGCTATCTGATGTACCTTTAGCCCAAGCTGTTACTGTCCCAGAGGAGGGGAATATTTCCCTGTTCACGAGGTCACACCAGCTGCAGAGACGTGAAGGCACCTGGAAAGGGTTGAGCTCAAAACCAAGAGGAGAAGGATTTCCACAGCTTTCAAAGAGCCCATAGTCAAACTATCCCAGGGAGCAAGACCTTCCCCACCAACATGAAGGAAGCCACTGAAAATGTCTCTCTGGACGGTGCCGGCTGGAGCCAGGTGGCACACGAGGGCTTGCCGGTGAGTGAGACCTGTGGGGAGCAGGGAGGGACCTGATGGGCTCAGCCATCCCACAGCTACAGTGCTTGCTCGGGAACTGGGAGAAGCAGGTGGCCAGCCTGCCGACTGGGCTTTGGCAGGCAGTGAGCCCTTACCTCCTCCAGCTCTGAAACGGGGAGCAGAAAGAGTCTTCACCCCCAACAAGAGCACATTAGGGATGAGGCTGGTGTCACGCAAGCTGTGCCCAGATGCCACGATGGTAGAGCTGTGGGAGGGGATCTTCAAATATGTGGATAGAGCAGAAAGTCCCTGAGCATGGCCTGGACTGGCTTTTCCAGGACATGCCTTTGGGCTGCAAAACCGGCTTCCCACATTTGCTGGGGGCCACCTGTTTTTTTTTAAATTAAGTTCAATGTAAGCAAGAGCATGGAGTGCTTTGGCAGCAGGAGAAGCTTGGAGGGCTTTAATGTGGTTTTTCAGGGTGCTTGGTGTCGCATTTCTTTCCGCTGTGTATCTAGACTGAAAAGGTTGTTGTGAGGGTAGGAGGTGCACACAAAGATTGTGGTCACCATCTGCCAAAGATACCAGAGGCATGGATAGGGTCTGCTGCACAGGGAACAGGTACATTTGCCTTGGCTAGGATGTGAGTCTGACTTGTAGGAAAGGCACAAGGCTGTGGGAGAGATACGGCTGTCTAGAGTAAAAACTACAGGCATGCACACAGAATTAAACTCAGAGCCAAAAAGCTGCCTCAGCAAAGACTTCTTAATTGCAGCTATATGCAAAAGTTTAACCAAGCCAAGTAGAGAGAGTTATTTTAACTGATATCTCAGAACACTAAGTTCCAGTTGACAAACTGTGAATTTAAAAACAAAAGAGGTGAAAAAGAGACTGTACTCGTGGTTGCACACCTACTTGTTCGTAAAGCCTTCAAGATAATGAGTCACTGCGGAATTCAATAATGAACATACTTCCAGTGAACCTTAATCTTTAGCTGCCATAACTTACGAATTTCAATATGCACTATTTTGATCCAGTAGACTAACATTGCTGAAGCAGTACATTTTTTCCTCAAAACCAGAAATGGAGTTCAATCTCTTTATAGTGGCATGACATTTATCTCCATTTTGAAAGTGATCCCATTTAAACTGAAAGCAAATAGAAGAGCATAGCCCTCATACGTGCAGCTAGAGCAAAGTACATCTCACACTGATTAACCGGTAACTCCTCTCAACCCTTCAGACTTTTGAACTACAGTAACCGATCAACAATACTGTTATATCCCATAAAATATATTTCCTTTTGTGCTTCGCCTTTTCTGAACTCAAATTTTAACAGCACTTCGGATATTGTAGTGAATTATCATAATTAACTTAATAACTTTTCCAGACCAAGGCCCAGGATACTATTTTTTGCTCTGAAGAAGATAACAGTCTGTATTTCACATACAGCGGAAAATCAAATGTTCTCGAGGTCAAAGAACTCAACTACCAGGTAAAAGTTATAATTTATATAACTCCCTTTACAGGAAGCATGTCCAGCAACCCTGTTTCTATATGCATGCTATTTTAAAAGCCAAACAAAGTTGAAGTTCACAACACAAAGTTCACACGACCGGTGCACAGTCAAATACACATTTTTTTGGGCAGAATCATGCTCTTGGCTGCAATATTGACAGCAGGCTAAACCCTCCATTGTAAATATAAAGCTAAGGGATAAGACAGGAAAATAAGTCTGTTTCTAGGCTCTGTTTTTTCTCAGTCTTGAGCCAAACTATTCCTCTGAAGGCTGGGGCAGTGGGACTTTCTGTCCAGCTAGGCATGGTGGGAGCCCTTGCTGGCAAGAATGAGTATGCAGAAGGAGACAAAGAGAGGATGAGTAACAAGGAGGATTTCAGGGAATCTTTTTTGTCTCCCTTTGTGAAATTTTTTGTCTCCCTTTGTGCCACCATGGCATCTGAAGTAGATTTCACAATTTTCAGTTTTGCATAATTTCAAATTATGTTAAAAATTTTAAACATTTAAAATTTACAATAGCAATAAATTACTAAAGTAATAGAGGATAGAGACAGTTTTAGTGTTTAACAGAATAAGAAATAAAGCATGAAAACCATATCTGGTTGTAAAAGAACATTCTTCCATGTATTTCTGAAAATTAACAATGTTATTTTAATATATTCTCTGCTTGTAACATCATAACTTTGAAGGTATTTATTGCCAAATAGTTTTTTGTTTGAATTAAAGGGACATGTTTCTTTCTTTGTTAGGTTAACATAGCATCCCAGATTCCCTGGTATGAAAATCTCGCGCACATGAAAATGCCCTGGACCTGGAAATCGGATCCCCGTTCTCACGTGTCAATAATCCAGAATCTGAATTTAAAAGTTCAGAGTGGTCAGATGCTAGCTATTATAGGAAGCACTGGTAAGAGATACCAAATTTCACTATTTGATCCACACTCAGAAAAAACATACACAGCCAAGAGCAATACTCTGCAGTCTTTTGAATGGCAAAATCCCCTTGAGAAACAGTTATTGGAAACATGTCCCTTAAATACATTCTTTAAATGTATGAGGAAACAAAGAATGTTACTGGAGGAAAAAAAAGATTAACATTTATTTTCAAAACCAATTTTGTTATGACTTGTACACATTTACTATTTGTTTCCTGAGGTATAGTGGGGTGGTGTTGTAACAGAGCCTACTACAGAGCCTGTAGTCCCGGCTCTGCTGGACATGAATCAGCTTCAGGGCTCAGATTCAAAACAGGTCAGTTGCAGACCTTACACAGTAACATAGCGGACAAATGAGGCCAGACCCTGTAAGAAAGATCAGTGGCAACTTGCATAGCCATAAACAGGAATTCCCTTCAGATTGAAACAATTCTAAGAGGATAAAATATCTTACTTGCATTAATTAAGAGAAACTTACGGAGAAGAAAAGACAGTTCCTCTTCTGTTTGGCTTTAAAATGGCTCTCTACTTTCTTACATCTTTTCTTTTTTGTTGTTCATTTTCTGATGGGAATTGTTTAATCTTCTCCAGGGTGAGGCTGACTGATGGAGAGATGGCCTTTACCCCATGTGGTTAGTTGAGTCTAAGCTTATCTAGAAGGATAAGAAGTAGACATGTGACCTGTTAAACTGAAGTAAAAAGTACCCATACTTTGGAGGTAAAACCCCCCATGCTGTGTCTCCACTAGACTCTTACATCAGGTTAGCTCAGTGAGTCAGTGAAGATGTTCTCTCTCAAAGGCAAAGCATATTTGTGAAAGAAGTTTTAACTTTATTTCTAAAAAGAGGTTTTTCTTCCCCATTGCCATGGGAATTTTTTCTTAGCACGTACCCTTAACATAATTGAAGTCATATCTTAGAGATTCTCCCGATAACAAAAGGAAAAGCTTGTGATGAAATAACATATTGAGTTATAGATATAGCACCGTTGTAAGGTAACATACACGGAGCACAAACCCCTTTCAGCAAACTAGTCAAACTATTTTTAAGAGCTGTTTATCATCTATTTCATCAAATGCCTTAATAAAATGGATTAAACTGCTGATGCATTTCACACTGTCAATGGCAATCAATATGTCACTCTTAAACAGAGCAATACGTGGTTTACAGATGGATAGATTTCTTTTTTAAAATGTATATATTAAGAAACAAGCATGGAGTTAATCTTTCAACAGGGAGACTAGAAATAAATGACATCTAATCATAATAAGAGAGCTCTGTGTGTTTACATACAGTATCATACAGCAAAAAGGAAAAAATCATTTGCTATTTAATTCCAAATCAGGTGTTGTTTTCATTGCTTTACTTTTCTTACCTCTTATTCAAGAGCCAGCTTTTCTTAATTATTTAAATGACTTTTTGTCTTATTTAAGTCATAATAATTTTTATTTCAATCATGACTGAGATTCTTATTGTCTGTATAATCATTCGACGCCTTAGTCATTCAGCTGTTCCAGCTGCCGTTTCTGGATTCACAGTTCCCTCCACAATGCAAGCTCTTGCTGAGCATTTAGGTGCCAGCCCTGCAGCCAGTGTGGGACCTGGGTTTAACCTATGTTTCAAAAGTGAAAGAGAGGTAACAAGAGGACAAACAGATCCTGCTTCTTGAGTTCATCGAGCTATCCTCAACACCCAACTACCTAATTTTGCTGAGAAATAACAAAGGTTAAAGGCACGTGCTCCATTCCAGAGGAGAGAGATTTCCTGACCCTGAGCTTATAGTCAGTATTTTCTTTCAAGACCATTCTGTCTCTGTGGCTTTGGAAAAGCTTCAGGAGGGGTTGGGGGAAAGACATTAAGGAATGAAAACTTCTATCCTCTGTCTGTGACTAAATCACTTCTCAAAATGATCCCTTGAAAATGAATTTAATTTTCAATTTTGATTTTTCTAGCTGGTGGAAAGACATCCTTGCTTGATGTGATAACCTGCCGGGATCATGGAGGCAAAATCAAGTCCGGTCAAATCATGATCAATAACAAATCCAGCACTCCCCAGCTTGTTAAGAAATGCATAGCACATGTGCGGCAGGATGACCGACTACTCCCCCACCTGACTGTCAGAGAAACACTATTGTTCGTTGCCAAACTGCGCCTTCCAAAGTTTTTTTCAGACTCACAAAGGAAAAAAAGGGTAATTAAGCTGTTGGAAAAAAATAAAGTTGTCAAAAATGTGTCTGACAGGAATTATCCAAGAGATCCTGTGTGTTTGGAGTCAGAACAGCTAATCTGGCATTTTTTTATGTAGATTATGAATTATAAACCTTTTTCTTCTTTCAAGATAGAAACCAGCAATTGTTCCAAAGCTCACAAAAAAATGACAATCTAGAGAAAGCAATAGAGAGGTTGAAAGAAGAACTAAATTGCTGATCGCTGAGTCTTTTTTAGTGTCAGCTCTAAAAATCAAGATTTGTTTTCAAGTGTCTCTTGATCAGATAGCACTGAAATATCCAGATGAATTTTAACCACATTAATCGTACTTTCAGCTATATCTATGCACGAATGTGCAAATAAACTCTTGCTTTATCTCTGTTACCCTTCGGATCTCCCCCAGGTAGAAGACGTTATAGCAGAACTACGCCTGCGTCAGTGTGCAAACACCAGGGTAGGGAATGAGTACCTCCGTGGTGTTTCGGGAGGCGAGAGGCGGAGAGTGAGCATTGGTGTGCAGCTGCTCTGGAACCCGGGTGAGTAAACCCCTGACACCTTCTTTGTGCCCGCCACAGGTTGTGGTGGGAAATGGGGCAGTAAATGAAGATAGTTGCTTTCAGGGAAGAGTCATACATACAGTTGCCCCTGGGGCAGCTTGAGGAGTTCATGCTCAGGACACTTAACAGGTCTTGTACCACCCTCTGCCAGAGGTTCTCTCTCCATAGCAAAGTTAGACACGGTGACTGGGTGCTGGTCCATTTGCTTAAATTGAAATCAGTGCTGATCACAAATACTGTAATTATTACAGTAATAATTCTGTAAATTAGAATTATTAGAATTCAGCCAACCCACTTTCACTTCTGTCACCTTTGCCAATGGAAAAGCAGTGACAAAACCACGCAGAGTGCCCCTGGGAGCCTTCACCCACTGCTCTCTAAAACCACCATCACCCAGACTACTGAAAGTTGCCTGAAGTCACCCTAACAGCAGTGCTCTGGTTTGTGCATATCTGTATGAGGTTTGTTTTTTATCTGACTGCATGCCACAAGTTACTTTGGAAGGCTGCTGGCCTATTCTAACATCGTGATTGTTTTCCTTTGCTCTCATCCAGCCCATTTACATGTGCAATGTTAACAGGGAAGGTCTTTTTTCTTGGCTGTATAGTCAGTCGTTTTGGTCTTGTGCAACTCACTAGCGTGGCTGACTCATGCCGCAGGTGAACTAGAAACTTCCGTTGTCTTCAGTAGAAGCAAAACATGAGGGTAAATCCGCAGTTGATTTTGCAGGATTGAATCCCCCATCTGCTGTTACGTATATCAAAAGCACTACTAATCTTGGCTCATCCTCTTGTTCAACAAGATTTCCCATCAGCTCCACTGGGAAATGGATCTGAGAATTTTTTGCTTGTATAAAGTTATATTTTTGCAATTATGGGGAAAGCAGAAGACATTTTTTGTAAGAAGTGATGCTCAGGAATAGATGTGCTGGTACTGAAGTGAAAAAAAACCAACTAGTTTAGGAAAAATAAGTAAAGCCACCTTTACATTTCAAACGTGTTACACCTCTCAGCACAGAAACCATGTCTGTGTACAGACATTGCCTTGCACTGATTGAGGCCATTAAGTTCTGTAATAACACAAACACTACAAAGTAATAAAAGACTTTCAAGTTTGTAACAACCAATTGCAAAACCCACAAACAAAAAATCCAAACATATGCATATGTCTTCATATATATGTGCAAATAGGTGCAAAATAGAGCACAGGTTGGGAGGAGGAGAAACTATCTAAATTAATACCATGTGGGTATTTACATGTGAATAATGCAAAAGGTTTAAATATTGGGCACTTAGGTTAAAATATTTCAGTAGGCAGGATACAAAACTGGTACTATTGTATTAATTAATATTAATGTACCTGATATTTGTACAGGCAGCGCAAAACTGCAGAGAAGAATGTAAATTTAATAAGGAACCTAAATCTGCATCCCAATGAAAAATAAAGAAAATTCTTATTTCCAGTGGGAGCAAGACAAGATTTAAAATAATTACTCTCGGTCATCATGTTCAGTAAGATAGTAGAAGAAATTGCCATTGTTGAATATTACGTGATGCTGGTAGGAAATATACTTTGGACTTTAAAAAAAGGAATATATCAGTGAGATTTCATGCACTAGCATCATTTTACTTAGAACATATTTTCCAAATCAAACATGCTGCTTTCCACAGCTAAATTTATTGTCTTTGGCAGGAATACTCATACTTGATGAACCCACATCTGGACTGGACAGTTTTACTGCACACAACCTTGTGATAACATTATCCAGACTGGCCAGAGGAAACAGATTAGTTCTTCTTTCACTTCATCAGCCCCGGTCAGATATCTTCCAACTGTTTGATTTAGTTCTTCTGATGACTTCTGGAGTCACTGTCTATTCTGGAACAGCTAGAGACATGGTCCAGTATTTCACAGAACTAGGCTATCCCTGCCCAAGGTACAGCAATCCTGCAGATTTCTATGGTTAGTATCAAGCATTGCCATATAAAAAGGTTACTGGAAGTCACTGGCTTTCATAACTGTTATCAGCTAACATTAATTTTTATTGACCATAACTGCCTTAGAAAAACTGACTCAAATCAATACTGCAGCAAGTTCAGTTTTTAATAAGATCCTTATTTGTCAGTACAGGAAATGTAACAAAAACAAGAGGTACAGACAAAATCTATTTTAAATAATCCTCCTTCTAACCCTGCCAGGTCTAGCAACTCTTTCACATGTTTAGCACACTTATTCCCATGTTTTAGTTGGTTGAAACTTTTACCCTCAACTGGGAAAGACATGGATGAACTGATCAATTGCTTTCTGCAGCCAGTTCTCTGACTTCTGAATCAAGAAATGTAGGAAGCTAGTTTCCCAGGGTGGGAAATAATACACACCTGGAACACTAAATGGGAAAGAGGAGCGCTGCCTAACACAGCACATCGGAAGGGAGAAAAACCAAACCCAGAACAGCAATATTTTATTCCTCGTCCCAAAGTAAGTTAACTACGTGGTTCCAAATCCATTCTTCTTGTCTTTGCAACATGCAAAGGGAATCTGGCCCTGTTAATCTAATGGCAGTAGTCTCTTACCACAGAGGTTGGTTCATTTCCAGCCCTTAGGTCTTTGCACTCAAGTCGGCAAGGAAACCTGGTGCAGACACCAGCCCCAGTGCTCTGGAGTAACCTCTTTGGTTGTGCCTATGTGGCAGGCGACGTCAGCTCGTATCAGCTGTGCAGAGCTAAACAGAAGTTAACCTCAGTGTCAAGCCTTGCAAAAAGACCTTTGTCACCGCCATGGTTCAGAGCAGTCCTCAGCCAGGCGCAGCCTTGAGGAAGGCTTGCAGCACCCCGGTATGGGAATGGAGAATATGAGGCAATCCTGGGGAAACTTGTAGCTACAGCCTGTGGTTACAGAGACAAACCCCTATGACATGGAGGTGGGGAGGGATGAGAAAGGGAGCTGGAAGATCATTTAGCGGTATGCACAGAGTCAGTACCCATAGGAAGAGGAGAGAACTATGGGCAGCAGGAAGGTGGAAATGGGACAGGACGGTAGAGGATGCCGCAGCAAGAAGAAGCACCTGACGGAAACACACAAATGCTGGCTGTGTGTCTGAGAGAGAAACAGGATATGGTGGCAGAAGGGAAGAGGTAGGGCAGATTGCAACTCATTTCTGATGGACTCCTGTGGAAGAGTGCCTGAACAGAGTTGATCAGCCCAATGTAAGGAGTTACGAAATGTGCAGCAACAGTTCTCTCAGAAAACATCTGCAAAACATCAGGTATTGTCACTCTACACTGAAGGTCAGCATTGGAAAATACTATTATAAGTTTAGATTAAAAAAAAAATCATTTTGTTAAGTAAAAAAATAATGCTAAGTCAACTATTGTTGCCGCTACTATGTTGTCCTTAGATAACATTCTTCTTCGGCTTTCTCAGTGTCAGGTAAAGTTTATGGCACCTCTGTAAGATACAAAAAAGGATGATAACTATTGTTTTGCAGATGGAGAAAAAACATGTGATTTAAGTCAAAGTCACATAACAGATTGTAAATGCCTTCATGCCAGGAAGGAAATTCAAACTGTTTATTCTGAGCACCCCTCTCAAGCCACTATTAAATTTAGAAAAATCTGAAATAGTAGTTTACAATATTATAATAACCAACTATGAAATCTCTCAGTCATTCATTGAATGACTAGGTAAGAAACATCTCTCAAGACAAAATACACATTAACAATCTGCTCTTCTCTAATTATCTAAAGTAATTGTTAAAGTTTTAACTGTTGTAGCTTAATGCATGCACACAGGTTATACTGTCTGTCCACGATGAAATCTCTTGATTCTAAACACATCGTAAAGTTATCACATCTGTCGCATATGGACTCATGTCAAATAATGTCTTGCAGTTGATTTGACCAGTATCGACAAACAGACCGCAGAAAAGGAGATGGAAAGCCGAAAAAGAGCAAATACTCTTGCCAATTTGTTCCTAGAAAAAGTCAAAGATTTTGATGATTTTTTATGGAAAGATACTGAAGGAGACAATGTTGCAACCACATTCAGCAAGCAAAGGTAAAGAAGAGTGTCATACAGCAGATCTGGAATAACAGCTACAGCCTGTGCTAATTTCAATTTTTTTTTCACTTTCTTTTGGGCAGGTCCCATTTAAATTCAGAAGAGGCTATCAACATGCCACACCATTCAAGTGATCAGTTACCAGGAGTCTTAAAGCAGTTCAGTATATTATTAAGGTAATCTTAACTCCAGCATAAACAGTCATGTATCATGCCCGTTTGTATTTTAAAGCATAAGAAATAAGCACATAGTGAGAACTGACTGCATGCTGAAAATGTAGAGCTAACGCTAGGCCTGAGCAAGCTGTAGAGCAGAGGTGTTGTTGCTGTATCGGCTCACTCCAGCCCCCTGAGCAGAACAGCAGCCAGAGGTATGGCCCCACCTTGCTGCCCCGGGCCTCCTCCCAGACACAGTTAGCTCCAGCTCACATCTCTGGGAGCCCACAGCTTTAAGGAGCAGCAGGAGTCTCCAGACTCAGGAATGTGCATCCCAGATTTGGGTACTGCCATCCTGATATCCATGCTGAAGCGTGGTGACTCAACCCTCAGCAAGCCCAGGCAGCTGCATGGTAGGCTCAGGCATTGCCATCCTCACACCTCTGCCTTGGATTTGAAGCCAGGAGGCTTCACTAATTATAGCCAGCACAGATGAGTATTGTAGTTGGGCTTCATGCTTGTGTACTCAAAAGAAACGTGATCAACTGCTTCAATACATGTAGAACATCACTACTAGTATCAGCTGTTGTTAGTGCATGCTACAGGTCCTTACAGAGACTTCTATAACTGAAGTAATTGCTTCTGCATCTCTGAAATCAGACCATTCCGCCCCCCATTGCCTTCCTTCAAGCTTTCTGCATTTCAGACCTGAAATAATAGGCAGCTACAGATGCTCAATAGCTTTGATTAGGTAAAATCCTT